GTGCTGCCTCTGCCTCCCTCACCAGTGCTGCCTCTGCCTCCCTCACCAGCGCTGCCTCTGCCTCCCTCACCAGCGCTGCCTCTGCCTCCCTCACCAGTGCTGTCTCTGCCTCCCTCACCAGCGCTGTCTCTGCCTCCCTCACCAGCGCTGCCTCTGCCTCCCTCACCAGCGCTGTCTCTGCCTCCCTCACCAGCGTTGCCTCTGCCTCTGCCTCCCTCCTCCTCAGAATCTAATATATATTATATTTTGACAGTTTAATAGCTAATTAGTTTCGAGTTATGAGCAAAGTTGTATAAATATAACTATTTATATAAATTTTGTTTAATTTTCAGCTTGAGCAATGAAATGGTTTGCCATCCTCTTTTGCTGAAATTAATGTGTCCGTAGCGTTGCCTTTTTAAGAAAATTTAGGTACTACATTATTAAAAGCGTTGATATAATTAATTACATTTTATTGTTTCAATAAAAAATGCAACAAAGTTATCTTTACTTCGAATTGCGTTTTGTTACTGCTTATGTTATTTTCCATAATTTGAACCATGAATTGGTTATTCGCTACCCGCTGTTGGTTGTCGCTACGTTTGTTAAAAAAAAGAGTTTGTTGTACGTACCCAGTGACCTCAACGTCCGTAAAGAAATGATCCTGGAGGAAGTGTTAGTCATTTTAGTTCACCAAATGAAATGGCATATCTTATGCACTCAATAGTACCTATGTAATCATATTGTTACATTTCAACCCCTCAGGGGGGACTTCTGATGCGTGTCTGTGCTCGTCAGAAGTCCTATGGGATCTCGCGCTCCTAGGGGGATTGTTCCTGAGCGCCCCACCGCTGAGCTCGCGGTGTCTGACTGCAGGTCTCGGTTGTGGGTTAAGTTATTATGTAGGCAGGATTCCTTACATTTCCCTTCTCTGTCTCTCTCGTGCGGGCGGCCGACGTCCCGTGTAAGCGACCTCTTGTTCTAGTGTCTTAGTTTCTGTTACTTTTCACCTGTCCCTCCTTGTCACTTCATCTCTTTGAGATGCTAACGCTGCTTCCTTCGAGCCAGCTTCAGCGGGCTGGAAAATTGAGACCTTCCACCCCTTGTGGGTGATGACCTATTTTTGATTTGAGAAACTTTTGATAATTGAGACCTTCCACCTCTTTGGTAATGTTCAATATGACTTTCGGTGCGAGAGAGCTAAATAGCTGAAGCGCTAGTAAACCTGTGGCCACTAAACTAACTAACTGTTACATTTCAAAATAAAGCACCTCACTGCAGCGAGTGACAGAGCGCGGATTTTCTCGTCGTCGAAAACGTGACGTCACGGACAGACGGACAGACAGACAGACAGACGGACATGGCGAGCACAATAGCGCCTTTTTTATATAAATGAAAAAATGCGCTAAAAAGGCATGGGATCTAAAATAGCCAAAGTCCCACACAATGGCTGTTATACTCTCAGCCTCGTCTGCGCAGATGCAACAAATTTAAATCTGCCTAAGCAATCACCACTGCTGCACCGTTGTTCAGAAGTGCACAAATGCCAAGAGAAGCAGAACTATTCAAGGCAAAC